GATTAAGTCTCAACAAAATAAAAATATAATCTCCTGGTTAACATAGCAGCCACATGTTTGGAAATTATGTTTGAAAATGGTACAAAACCCTCACAACACTTGTGCACTTGTGAAAAGGAATTGGTTCTAGGCTTAAACACAGAATCAGGTTTTTCACTTACATAACTGTCTGGTTGAACACTGAATGGAACTCAGGAGAATTCTGCTTTATGCAGGACTGTCTCAAACATTGCCAGAGTCTCATGTTCCAAGAACCAGCACACTGAATGCCAGTACATGACCTTTAATAACCACAAAGTCTCCTAAAATTTCCCAAAGTCACTATTCCCTTTGGGAAAGCCAGGACATGCTAGGCCAGAAGAGGAGAGGCTAGGAAAAAAAAAAAAAGACAGATTATTGTCCCTGATAAAGTTGAAGGTGACAAAATTGAAAGTAGAGGTCTAAAGCTTAGAATTTGAGAAGGCACAGATACATTCATGTCTTGGTGGATGTCACATTTCCTACAAATGAATGATAATCTTGCTTTAAGGATTTTGTGGTAGGCTCATAAATTATTTCTCTGTTTTCAATACCTCAAGTACCCTCTCTCCTAACTTGGAGTACCTACTTTTCATTTTGAACCCTCATGTTAGGAGGCTCATTTGCTGAAAACAAAACAAAACAAAAAAACCCCTCTATTTTAAACACTATGAAAGATCACTTTTTGAAGAGGAAGCACTACTTCTATTATTACAGGCCAAAAATGTGGAACATTTCAGAAGTGTTATTAGTTTCCTATTACTGCTATAACAAATTACCACAAGTTTAGTGACTAAAACAATACAAACTTATTACCCTAAGCTCTAGAGGTCAAGAGTGCAAAAGGATTTCCTCGGGCTTCAATTTTTTTAAACCGAAAGTGTCAGCAGGGCTCTGTTCCTTTCTGGGAGCTCTAGAGAATAATACAGTTCCTTCACTTATCTAGCTCCTAGAGGCTGCCTGAATTCCTTGGCTCATGGCCCTTCCCTCTATTTTCAAAGCTAACAGCATAGCATCTTCAAATCTCAGATTTGAGATTTGATAATCCAAAGGGAATTCTTGATCCAAGTCAAAATCCCTAATTTAATTACATCTGTGAAATTCCACTTACCATTAAAGTAATATATTCATAGGTCTGGGGATTAGGACGTGGCCATCTTTAGGAGCCACCATTCTATGTGCCACAAAAGAGTAGAGCAAGGAATATTTGGCTGAAATAGGAACACTGTGAACATTTTTTCCCCCTTCTACAGTTTCCTTGTAGTTCACCCACTCTTATTTTTACCTTTAAAAGCCAAGCTAAGGATTCTACAGTTGCTTATCTTTAGACAGCCTGATTCCTATTTACATAATTTTCATCAATTTAAAATAGCAACCAAAGGTAGAGATTAGCAAAATACATTTGGAGTGGGGAGAGAGTGGTTAAAGCAGACATTCATGTATCCAAGATATAGTTCTAAACCTGATTTTTTTCCAGATTGAATGCATAATACATGATTTCATAATTCTGCCAAAGGATTATTTACCATTATTGATGTTAAGCATATTATTTATACACACACACATGCACACACACACCACATTGTGCTATTTCCGTCTAGGATTTTCAGAAAATTTTGGAACTTAGTACTCATTTTTCTAAATTAAAAATATAAAATAAATATGAACTTATGCTTTTATAAGAAGTCATATATGACAAAAGTACATAGGATAAAAAGTTAAAGCCTGCCTTGCTCCCACCTCATTCTTTTACAAGTACAAAAGTTGTGAAGATTATTTAAAATAAATACATGTGAAGCACCTAGGAGATTCTATTAGCATAACAGCCATTTGATGGCATTGCCTTAATATTAAATTACATTGCTCTTACTGTCTGCATAATTGTTCTTTCCTGCTGATGAACCATTTAAACTAGTCTCACAATGTGAATGCTTCCAACCTAGGGTTCTAATGAAATACACTAGTATAAGCATTCAAACACATCTTTCTTACTTGTATTGAATTACATTTTTAAGGTAAATCTTAAATCTTAGGTCTGTCAAAGGATATATCCATACTTAGGACTTTTGCTCAGTATTGCTTTCCAAAGGATTATACCAGTTTCAATACTATTATTCAAACCTTTTTGGCAGGATTTAGAAAAATTTTGCTAACTTAGTAGTCATAAAATGGTATTTCAAATCCACTTTAATCTGTACTTTTTGTGTCTTGTAAACATAAATATTTATGTACTTGTTTGTTTGCTTCCCCCCCGCCCCATTCTACAGTTATTGTATTTATTGAGCATCTGCATTTATCACTATTATAGAGACTCGTGTCTCTATAATATAGCAATCAATAGAAGATACAAAAATCTACTTATTGGACTGGTTTTTATAGGTCTGTTAAAAGTATAGTCTTTTAGGTACCATATTAAACTAGCATAAGCTTTTCAAACTAACATAATCAAACCCAGGGAGTATTTGGCCTTCACAGGAGGATCAGAAGTAGGTGCAGCCAAGTGAAAGATGAAGAAGGTGCACCTTCTTGCTCATTTATCTACTAATAATAAAGTTATGTATTTAAAGATTTAGAGTAAGAAGGTAAAATAGTATACATAACTTTAAAATTAGTTTATAATTAAAAACTTGAGAAACATTAATAAGACTATTCAAAACAACTCTCTGGGGTTGAGGAGTAAGACTATCCCTTTAAGTGTTTTCAGTTTTTGGTGATTACAAATAAAAAGTCATTATAAACATTTGCATGGTATGAAACGTGTGTTTGCTTAGTATCTTCATCTTCACCGATTGTATAGTCAGTGGTTTTCCCCCCATTCTAAGAGCTATGTAGCCATATCTCATTGTGGTTTTTATTTGCATTTCTCTAATGACTGATGATGTGGAGCATCTTGGCTTACTTGTCATTTGTGTATCTTTTTTGGTGAAGTGTCTGTTCTAACCCCCCCCACCCCGCACCCCGCTTTGTTTTTTTTTCTCATTAGTGAGTCTTGAGAGTTCTTTATATACTCTGAATATAACTTCTTTATTAAATGTTTTGCTAAAAAAAATACAACCTAACTCCCAGGTTGATATATTTGAATATGTGTATTTAAGCAACTGTGAATAACTTTAACACCACACTTTGTCTTTATAACTGATTTACCTGGATTTTCAGTCTTTCTAATGAACTTTTTCTCTACCTCTAAAATGAGGGGAATTTAGCTGTTAAAATCTAAAATACCTGCCTTCAAGCTCTAAGAAGGTATTCTATATAAAACTGACTTAGCTTAAAATACAGCTGAAATTTTGCTTCCTGTTAGGATATTAAATAAGTGGAGTAATGTATGACTCAGGAGTAAATAAGAAAACACTGTCATTACTTTCTAAATTAGGTTAAATAAAAAGTGAACCAGCAACACAGTAAGGGATGATTTAAAAGAAGAACTGTCTGCCTCCCGTCTCAGAAACCATACCTTGAGAAAAAGGAACTATATAAAAAGGCAGATGTTTTAAATTTTGAAAGTAGTGCAAGCCAGCTCCTCTTAATTCACATTTGCACCTGCATCTCTAATTTGCAAAAAGTGATGCGTAAAATTTCAAAATAGCAAAATGTAAGTCTGTTACAATATTAATGTGTGGTTCAGTGCTCTATGCAGTAGAGCATGTTACCTTGCATATATGGATCCTTTACTATTTCTAATGGTTACTGTAGTTAATCTAACGCCACTTGAATCGAGCCGTTCGTAGGTACTAGGTTTGAAACTTCTAAAGTAGTTGCAACTGCTAAAAGCTCCTCGGGTGCCGCTCCTCCTCCTGCCGTCTCTCCTACTGTTGAACACCGTACTCACTTATCTGGGCGAAATTCCCAGCCCGCCCCAGACTCCCAGCGTCGTTCTTCTGGATCAGGGCTCCTTCCCCGCGCACATCAGTTATTTCCTCCGCTTCGAAGACGTGCCGCCCACCTGGATTATTTCCCTTTTCCGTTCCAAGCACGTCTCCAGCTAAAAATTCTTTTTTCACCTGTCATACTCCTGCTCGTTCATGACATTCAGTTTTCTGCCACAGAGTGTTCGCTACCCCAGTAGTTATGCCATCTGGACAAAAATAGCTCACAGTTTTGCTTAAACAGTAACGGCCGCCCAAATTTGATGGTTAGATTTGTCTCACGTCCAAAGACCGCGCCTCCTATAGTGCGGCTTGATAACATCCGAGGAGTGAGGAGCTGTGGCCACTAGAAGGCTGCAGGGACTTGCCCCAGCGAGCCCGCCCAATCCCCCGGGGGCACCGTCTGCGGACCCCTGGAAGTGTGAAACAAGACTTCCAGACTTGTCTCTCGTCTAGCGCAGGCACTCCTTTTCCCAGCAGGCCCCGCGCGACCCTCGGCGCCCCGCCTCCTCGCGGTGCGGCACTCGGCGCGCTCCGCGGCCTGTCACAGCTAAACTCGCGAGCCCCACCCGCGGTCCTACAGCCTGACTCCCAGCTCCTTCCCGACTCCCGCGAGTTCCAGTCGCGTCTTCCAGCACCCCAGCACCGCCCTCAGTCGCGCGCGCTCTCCCCGCCCCGCCCTCGTCCTCGCGTGCAGCCGCCACAACCAATGAGGTTCGGGGCCGCGTGCGCAGATTCAAACGGCGGCTCTTGAGGGAGGCTAGGCGCGAGATTCGGCGGTGGGCACAAAACCCTGCAGGAGGTTGCGAGCCCTGCAGAGCTGCTTGCTGCGGAGGGAGGGCGGGGGTCGGCGCCCGTGGCTAGGAGGCTGAGAGCCGACGGGAGGGGCCGGCGGAGAGCGGGAGCGCGCCTGCTGACATGTTGGGGGCATCCCTGAACTGGCCGGTCCGGGACTAGGAGCGGTGCTTGCGGGCCGGGGGCGGGTCTCGGTCCGCCTTCAGTCCCTTCGACTTGCCCTGCTGGGGTCGCGTTCCGCACTTGGTGGCCTCGGAGAGGGAGCCGGGGAATCGGCGGGAGGGTCGGGGGAAAAGGAGCATTCGCCTGAGGCTGGAGGAGGCTGAACTGCGTCCCCGCCCAGCTCGCGCCTATGCGGTACTTGAAGGATGGCGAAGAGGTCGCGCAGGTGGGTGACATCCCTTTCGCTCAGGCCTGTCGGCACAGCCTCGGCCCAGATTCCTTTTCCTTTACCGCTGCTTCCCCACTAGGCCGTCCCCGGCCGGGGCAGAGGTTTTCCTTCCCGCTGCTCCAGAGGCGCCTCGGCCCGGCTGGCCGGAGCGCAGGCGTGACGTGTGCAGAGTTGGGGACCACTGTATTTAAGATGCGGAAAGTAATGGATACCCAGGTTACTCCTTCGAGTTGGTTTTTTACATAATCTCTCACAGCCACTTCTTGGTGGGGAGTGTCTGCCAGGTAAGTCTGTGCCCTTTGGGGAATACGCTACGCAGAGAAAAGTGGTACTGTCCTGCCAGGATGACTTGAAAATGGTGTTCAGGGGGACTCACTCTCTGAATCACTACCAGTTAAAATAGGAACTCCGTGGTAAACCTGGGCGGGGACCCCTCTGTCATCCTTGCTCCCTTAATGGTTTGGAAAATCTGCTGAGGAATAGTTGAGAAAGAACCTTTTTGATGTTTTCTGTTATTACCATACTCATGTTCTCAGCTGTGTGTGTGTGTGTGTGTATCTTCTACTGGGAAGCTGTTACACTGTTACTACTAGTAACTTGATCTTAAAATAAAACAATGTATTTGATTCACTTAATATTTTGAGTGTCCATGTTTGGCTCTGACCGTACCGAAGTTCGCACAGAGGTAAGGCACATATTTTTGTTGTTGTTGGAAAACTTGCTAGGATGAATTTATGCCTTTGATTTTTACGTCTATGGCACTGTAGTAGCCTTTCCTAAATTATGTGTAGTAATCACTTAGAAGACAAAGTAACTAGGTTGTCTTTTAATTGCATTATTAATAAACTTGAAACGATGTTTGACACAATATCCAAATGGTTTTATTTCTAGATCTGTAACCTAAAAGCCTTATTTCTTAAGTTGAAATTTAGTATCAGGATTCATTAATTGCAGATTTCTGTTAAAATTGGTAAAATACACATAATATTTGTTGCTTTATACACTTATTAAGTGCCTGCTGTACGTAAATTGTTTTTGCAGAAAGCAGAATAAAATATAATTAAGTCCTTGTTAGCTTATTAGTTTGTAGCAACTACAGTATAGGTAAAACTCTTGTGGTGGAAAAAATTTACATACACATACATATAAACCCACATTTCTAGAACAGGGTTTTCAACCTTGGCACTCTTGATGTTGATATTTTGGAAGGGGACTTATTTGTGCTTTGTTAGATATTTAGCAACATTCCTGGACTAAAAACAATTGACACCAGTAACACTCCACTTACCCCAGTCCTGAAAATCAAAGATCTCCAGACATTGCCAAATGTCTGTTGGAAGGGCCAAATCACTCAGGTAAGAATCACTGCTCTAGAATGTTAAGGACCCAATTAGCCTTTTAAGTTTCAGAAAAGATCAATATTAAGAGCTTCTGTAATTATAATTGCTGAGGTACTGGTTTAAGCCTTTTCTTTTGAATATACACAAATTTTAAAGTATCTTTATTACGCAAAATGAGAACTGACTATATAACATGGCATTAACTAATCAGTACTGATGGTAATCTTATTCAAAATAATTTCTTGGCAAATGCTGTCATCAGTATTTAGTTAGATTTAGGCATGGATGTTTGAATATCAGAACCTTGCCTTTTCCAGTTGGTTTTCTGTGTGTTTCATAATAATAGACTAAGAAGGAAGAAATGATTTCATGATTAACTTACCCATATAAGCTTTCTTTTATTGACAGTACTGTAAGCTTTAAGATCTAAACATTAGCTGTACTGTTGACTTAGTTCTTGTTTGCTGTATAAGTTAATTTAAATATATATTATAGAATGATTTAAAGAGGCATAAGTCTACTGTAATTAAACTGTGAAGTTGCACTCCCTATGGGAGTATTCAGGTAGAGGATGAGGTGAGAAATTATCACCTCTGAATGGTGTATTTTCTCAGGGTCTTCATACTTGAATGTTTTGTGTTCTTAATTATAGTTCTTGTATATGGAAATGTGATTGTTTTTTACCTTAGAAGATAATAGAATGTGAAATGTTTTGATAGAAAAATAATCTAATCATTGGGTAAAGTCTAGTCTCAGCTCTTCTGCCTAAATATCTTAATATTAAATGTGAATATATATAGTTGAAAGAGAAAGGAAATAATTCAGTCACTTGAAGATCTCCTCTAGACAACCATTTAAGTATTTGAGTGAAAATTATACTTTGCAATATACAAGTTTTGCATAAGACTATAGGCATAAATCCTGTAATACACTTTTTCTGTAAGATCTGGCAAAAAAAAACAAAGTAAAACGCTGTTACCTCAGGTGTGAAACAGCTGAAGGATGTTGGCTTTTTTGATGTTTAAGATAGCTATATTTATATATACATAAAGGAAAAGGCTTATTTAGTGTTGCAACTTCAAATAGTTTTAGATACTGCTGAGGGTTTTAATGACATAATTTGCAGGCAATACTATAATTGGTATATATGTTATTAACACATATTTGATTTTTAAACATGTTTATTAATTAATTTTAGTTTTTAAAGATGGTTCTATCCGTAAAAATAAACTTAAAAAATGTCATTTAGAAGCCAGAAGGCCTATTTATGTAGTAACAGATTTAGGTATTTACACTTGAGATGACCTGTGACTACACTAAACTAAAAAGATAAAAGCCAGCTCTTGAATTGGAAGATGTTTTTCAGTGGGATATGTGTGTGTAAGAAGCAACTTTACTATGTTGTCTCCAGCCAAATAAGTGTTATGGGTGAAAGAATACTGAAATATGATAACTGATTTTTAAAATCAGCTTTGTCATTAACTAGCAATGTTGTTTTGGGAAAGCAAGTAAACTCTGTATACCAGTTTTTTTATTTGTTGTTATAATAGGTTTGAATCTTATGGTCTGTAAGGTAACTTCTAGTTTAATCTACATCCTATTTTGAACCCTTTTGTAATATTCTCCTCTCATTTAAAAAATACCCACACACTAAAGGAATAAAATTGAAATGTTCTTACATTGTTTTTGCTTTTGAATAGCTAGATAGAACTTTGTTCAGTATTTACTTCAGTATTGCTATAAATAATGGTCCACAAAAGTCAAATTTGTTTCACCATAATGATGCTAGTTGCAGTCAAGATTTGAGGGGAAAAAAATTCATGTATGCAGTGCATCATATTTACCACTGGGTGGCCTGATTTCACTATATTAAATTAACCTGGTAAATTTTTCTATCTTGAATTCAATTGGACTTTAAAAAATACACTGTTATTCTGTCAAGACAGTATAATAAAGTTGTATTTTTCAATTATGATAAAAATTTCAGACTTGATGCAGTTTTTGGTTAAAATATTAACTTGAAGTGATTTTATATTAGAGGAAATTTAATAAAACTACTGATGTTTTTCCAATTTCAAACCTGTTTTCAAATAAAAATAAATTTTAAAAAATTCTCAAATTCCTCCTTTGGCTACCTCATTTTACTTTTTTTAGGTAGTAAAATTGGTGGCTATAAAATTAAACTTCTCCCAAATGTTTTGTCTTAATATTGCCAAGTGTGAATAGTTTGTCTATTATTTCACAAATGACTGTCACATTCTATTAGCTTACACCCCAGTGTGAAGTTACTCTTAACCATCTTCCTTGCTTAATGAGTCATAGTATTTTTTGTGTGTCTGTGTGTTTCATTTTGCTGTTTCACATCACCCTCATCACTTCATTCATAATAGACAAAACTCTTTTCATTTGAATATAGTACTTAGGTAGTATATGAATAGTTATACTATAAATATTTTCTTTGACTAAAAAAATAAAATGGACAGAATGATTCAGGAAACCAAGGCCTGGATGAAGATTTTGAGATCGAATTCTTCTAGTTTTGATTTGTGACTGCAAATATAATTTTACCTTTTTTTGTTCTCTTCTAGATTAGTAAGGCTAAGCTAGAAATGGTTTATCTACACAATTGGAATTTGATTTTATTTATTACATCTTAGCAGCACCAATTGCTACAACACAGAAATGCTAAAAGATGATGTAAAAATCAGAAAAATAGATCAGATTATAGAGCAGTGGAACTTTTTCATTGTTAAATGGTGAAATTGGAATATTGGTGAGGTTTCTTGTGGGGATTTATCCTTTCCCTTATTCTCAGCCATCTTCCTATTGTGATGTTGATAAGTTTCTAGGGTCTTTTTCTGTCACATTTATTTGAAAGTTATATCATCTTTTCAACAATTACTTAAATAATATAGAAATAACAATGCTAAAACTAAGAAGTAGCTAGGTAGATAGACTCTAGGAAAGTCCCAGTGGTAGAGAGATGATTCTAAGAAATCTGCTCTAATCCTCCCTCACACTCACCCACTCAAAAACCCAGCTTCCTGAACAGTGGCTGAGCTGAATAACTGCCTGAAACTGATGACTGTGCTGATGCAAAACAGAATGAAACCTCACATAGAAATAGAAATTTCTCACAGACCAAATATATGGTTAAAAAAAATAAGGGAATATTTTAAAGTTAAAATGAACAAATTTTCAGGAAAATTACTCTTTTGACTCAAGCAGTATTTTTGGATCATAGCCTTAACTTAAAATAGTTTGATAAGAACCTGAAGGTGAATTTTGTGCAGATTAGATATAATGTAGATGCTTTTGTGACTACTTAAGATTTATATGGGCCAGTACCAAAATAGAAAATTGTTTTTATTTATAAATAACCTAATTTTAAAAACAATCTCCAAATGCTGTTGTGGAAGTTGTTGGGATCCGAGGGAAGGGAAGAAGAGGGAAACCTGTGAAAAGTGCAACTGAGGCCTGTTTGGGATGGCAGAGCAGTAATGTTGCTGGGACAGTTCTAGGAATGGTTAGCAACATTAATAGATACCGCCTCCCTCCAAAAAACCCCTGCTGTAATATGTTTTATACACACCCACACAACCACACACATTACTATATATATATATACATATATATATATATATATATATATATATA